CCAGGCTCTTGACCCACCCTGCACAGTTTCTGCCCAGCCCCACACCTCTGCCCCATGACCCTAGCCTGGCCCGTGAGTTCACCTCTCAAGAAAGCACCCAAGGAGAAGGCACTGGCCGGGAGAGGATGGCGGAGCCACTCGGAGCTGACATCTTTCAGCTGACTCATCCATTTCTACTGGCGTTTTGTCCTGTCCTGGCACCCAGAAAGGGGTCGGGGTCGGGGTGGGGATGCAAATTCAAGACTTCCTGACGTGAGCCAAAGCTGGACACGGGAGAGACCCAGGAGGGGCCTGCTTCTCGAGGCTGGACCAGAGGCTCGTGGGGCCTTGGCTTCCAAGCCAGGTGGCCCTACCCTGAACGATGGAAGAGTCTCAGAGTGGAAGCTGAGGGATCAGGGAGAGAGACCCATTGGATGTTCTCAGTCTCTGTAAAGCCCAGGCTGGTGGGACAGGGGTTCAGGGCCTCATCTGACGCTTCTCCTTATCCGTTCCTCATACTTCCTTGACCAGGCAGGAACCAGGCCGGGAGGTGGTGGTGTGTGCCCCGCTGTCTTGCCTGACTGCAGAGCAGAGAAAGGGTCCCATTGTGCCACTGAGCCACAAAAGGCTAAGTGGGAGATGAAGAGGCACTGGGCTCCAGCTGGGGGTGGGGGGGCAACAGATCCCACAAACCGGTGACAGTGGAAGAGGCCAGTAGGGGCCAGCCCAGAGCACTAGGCAGGGGTTAATGAGAAGACACAGGGATCTCCTTCTGGGGCAGCTGCTGAAAGGCATGCATCATGGCCCCCGAGGGCCGGTCTTCCCTTCTCTAAGCAGAAGGGCCCACCCACATACTCTCTCAACTATTCTTTATGTAACTTTCGAGATGATCCCAACCAAGGCTTTTGGATGCGTTGATTGACTGAGACATTATGGGGGTCACTGGGCACCCACGTTTCTTCTCCTCCCTGTGACTCACAGGAGACAGCTGGGCCAGTGCACATTCAGCTGCGCACCTGGGCCGTCCCAGCACCTCAGACATGCCCTGCCCCCACCCCACTCCCCAGGCATCCATTCACCCCACAGACATCTGTGGGGGGCTGCTGTGCACCTATGCTGTCCCAGGTGTCGGGACTATATCAAGGAACAAACCAGCGTGGCGGCGTGCGAGCCCCATTCTCAAGGAGTTTAAATTCCCCTTGAGTCAGAGAACCACACAGATCAGAAAACCCCCAGAACGTGTCCGAGAAAGAGATGGGCTGTCTAGGGTTAAGAGTCCAGGGGCAGGGCACGAGTGTGGAGGCGCTCGCTCTGTGCTGTGAAGGAAACAAAACACGGAGGGAGTAGAAGCTGGGAGGGTGGTCTCGGGGGACAGAGGAGCAGGTCAGGTGTGGAACCCTGGGTGTGGAAGGACTGCCTGTTACACCCAGGCAGCAGGGGACCCGAGTGGACGCAGCAGGGGGGGGGAGGGGGGATCAAAGGGGAACACCGGGCCGCTGGATGCCAAGGAGAGAGTGTGTGTGTTCTCACCCCTGCCTGCTCGCTGGACCAGAGAGGTGGGCACAGCACGGGAGGCTGCAGGGGACAGCTCAACAAGCCTGGTGGGAGGCGATGGCACCTGACACTGGGAGAGAGGGGCCGAGAAGCTTGGCAGAGCGCTTAGGCTCTGGAGAAGGGCGAGAAGCCACGAGACCCTTGCTGAGTCCGGTGTGTTAGGAAAGGGGCAGAGCAGCCAAGGAATTTGTCCTGAGTGGGAACAATGAGAGAGGCTGGGGGAAGAACCCAGAGGCTGGGGCAGGGGGCAAAAAATAGTTGTTTGCATGTGTTATAGGCTGAAGGGTCTGTTAGATGGCACATGGGCATCCCGACTAGGCTACTGAACATTCTAGTCGGGAACTCAGACACTAGGGCTGGAGGTGAAAATTCACAGTCATCCGTCTAAGGCATAATACAAAGCACTCAGGCTGTCTAGGCTCCTGAGGGAAGGAGAGGGAAAGAGAAGACTCGGGGACCCAGGGGCTGCTAAACAAAAGCCAGATGCAAGAGACTTGGAGGATGCTTCTGGGAGAATGAACAATGAGTCAGATTCTGCTGAGCTAGGCGCAGGAGGGCTGAGGCTGCTGCCGCATGGAGGTTGCTGGTGAACTACCGGATGCTAGCACTCTGCAGCGTGCTCAGTGGGCTGGGGAAGCTCAGAGGTAGAGCTCATGCTTTGCATGCACGAAGCCCCGACTTCAGACCCTGGTACTGAAAAGGCACACACGACAGGATGGGAGCAGACAGCTGGAGGAAGCGAGGCTGGGGGTGGGGCACTGTGGGAGACGAGCATGGTTTCTTAAAGAGTTTTTGCTATATATGAGGAACAGAGAATGGGCCAGGGCTTTAGTGAGATGTGGGTTAAGAGTATTTTGTGGTCTCTTCTTTTTTTTTTTTTTTTTTTTTTTTTTTTGGTTTTTTTTTGAGACAGGGTTTCTCTGTGTAGCTTTGCGCCTTTCCTGGAACTCACTTGGTAGCCCAGGCTGGCCTCGAACTCACAAAGATCCGCCTGCCTCTGCCTCCCGAGTGCTGGGATTAAAGGCGTGCGCCACCACCGCCCGGCTTCTACTTTTCTTTACATGGGAGAAATTACGGCATGTTTCCATGCTGACACCAAGGTCTAGGGGAAGTCCACACATGATACACTTGGTGATGGTGGTGGTGATGGTGATGATGATGATGGATCTGATGATGGTGGTGATGGTGATGATGGTGATGATGATGATGATGGTGATGATGATGATGATGATGGTGATGGTGGTGATGGAGAGGACACACCTCCCCCCAAGGTGACCACAGAGGCACTGGACACCAGTTTCAGGACACCTCAGTCCTGGGCCTGGACCTGTCTTTTACTGGCCACGAGACTCAGCCAGCCCCACCGCAACTTAACCCTCAGGGCCTTCAGTGAGCAAGGCGGTTCTTAGAAGACCAGCCTTGCTTCCTTCCCTGGATTGTGGTAGAGACGCAATGAGGCAATAGGTGTGAAAGTGTTCTACAGGACGCCATGGGTGGGACAGAGGGCTGGGATTATTTTTGTTATTCTAATAACACAAGAGATTATTAAGCAGACTTAAAGGCTTAGTACCATCCACCCAGCCCTGCCTGCCTGCATAGATAGCTTCCATGCTTGCTGCCACCTGCCCCTCAGGGAGCAAAGTGTATGCCCTGGCCCTCCACAGATGCCCGCTCTCCTCCAACTCCACCGGCCTCCCTCTGCCTCTCCTGTCCCTAGCCATGACTGCTCTCGGGGGCCTCCTGATGCTGCTGCCTGGGTCTGTGGCCCTGGTTGTTTCCGCCTTCTTCCAGTTCCTTCTCAGGGACTGATCTTTGCTTGAGAACATATGACCTGGAAGGAGGAACGCTCGTCCAGGAGCCAGAAGTGGGTGTCCCAGGGTAACCACTTTATCTAGGACTTAGGGGTTCCCAAGTGCTGACACTGGGGTTGGTACTACATAGATGCAGAACCCCTGAGTCTTGGTCTCAGAACTGGTCTTGACTTCAGCGAGACTGACAACTCAACCCTGGGGTTTCTGATGCGGAAGATGCCTGGCTTCACTTGGCAGGACTTTCTACTGCAAATTTTCTAAGTAGCCAAGGATGACTTTAAACTATGATATTCCTGCCTTTGCCTCCCACATGCTAGGATTACAGGTGTGCGCCACCCAAGACAGGGCTTTTTGTGTGGCTTTGGAGCCTGTCCTAGAACTCGCTCTGTAGACCAGGCTGGCATGGAACTCACAGAGATCTGCCTGGAAAGAGGCAATTCTTATATCAAGGTTGTTGACCTGCCTGGGATGTATTAGACATTCTTGTCATCCATGAGTCTGGAATTTGTAACTGAACTTGGAACTCTGGCCACTTAGCAGAGCTGAGCAACCTGGAGAAGGAGGAAGTCTGGCCATTGTATCATTGGCAATAGACGTCTATTCGGGTGGCTTCCCATGAAGATGTCATGGACATCTTGTCTCTTGGGTGATCCTGGGGCACATATTCAGGTGCTTGGGGGCTACCTGACCAAAGGATATGTTGGGCTGCCTTGGGCAGATATGTCTTGGTCATGCAGTCTGGGCACCTGCTTCTAGACAGTTCCCACCCGGCCTCTGCCTTTCGATGGGCCTCTGGAGCCAGATGTCCGAGTTCTCAGCCTTGTCCTACCATTCCTAGGATGCCAGGATCACCTTGGCGTGTTATCTGACATCGCTGAGCTTCCTCTTCATTGTGATCTCAGAAGAGCAGAACCTATCTGCTAGGTGTGGTGTGAGGATTGGGAACAAGGGAAAGATGGCTGGGAAAATGAGTGCTCAGTATTAGCTGAACCCCAGGTGCTGTGGCGCACGCCCATGAGGCTGAGGAGGGAGGATGGCAAGGTCAAGGCTAGTTTGTTTTTGTTTGCTTGTCTTTTGGTTTTTCGAGACAGGGTTTCTCTGTGTAATGGTCCTTGGCCGTCCTGGAACTCGCTTTGTGGACCAGGCTGGCCTAGAACTCACAGAGCTCCTCTGCCTGCCTCTGCCTACCGAATGCTGAAATTAAAGGTGTTTGCTACCACTGCCCAGCGAGGCCAATTTGTTTTAAAAAGGCAAATAAGTAAATAAATACATAAATAAATTAGCTACTACTGTTAAGTGAATTTGGTGAGAACAGCAAAGAACAAGGTCCCTCGAATGGAGCCTTTCATGAAGCATGTGAATCTTCCCTGACCACCCTAGGACCATAATAACTTGGTCCACACAGTAGGACATCCCCGGGCTCTGCCCCTCTTCTTAGTCCTGCTCTGGTAGGCAGCTTTAAGCTTACTGCTTCACGCTCCTGTACCCAGCTCAGAGAGCAGGTCTTGGACACCAGACGGAATTCCCTGAACGTGGTACTGCACCAGCCCCACCCTCAGATGCTGCAGAAAAAGCTTCCAGAGAGACAGTGAGGAAAACACAGGTAGAAGAGCCATAAAGTCGAGAAGGTGGCCCCAGAAGCTGGGCCAAACTCACCAACGTAAAGACGCACGCTCCTAGCACGGCGTAGATGGCGTGGAGCCAGGGAACCTGTGGGTACAGGAAGGACGGGCTTAGCATGTGGAAAGGGCAGCTGGTCGAAGGGCCAGGGGCTGGGGAGAGGGCTCAGTCCAGAGGATGGAGGAAGCGGGGTAATTTCTCGCCAGCACACTCTCTAAGCAGCCCCAGGACTGAGAAGGGCTTGTGATTCTCTGGGCGCTCACAGTGTAGGGCAGAGAGACCCCAGGGTAATCATGGGGAGACCTGCAGGGAGTTCTCACAGACCTGATATTTTTCCCTTCAAAACACAGCCCCAGGCTCAGGCTGGCCACGGGTGACTCATCCTATCTGTTATCCTCCCAGCCTGAGTCTGGCTCTAGGCTCCCCCAGCTGTCCCCATCCATCCCTGCTCTATCTGGGGTCTGCCTGTCCCTCTCACGGAGAGCTCTCTGTCTCAGTCTTGGGAGCAAGGGCTCACGTGGAAGGAGTCAGTTGAACTTGAGGGTGGGGGTGGGGTGAGGGGGTAGGGGATAGGTATGGAGGTGGAGGCACCTGGAGTCTCTGCCAGATAGCCATGAAGGGCCTGCCTCGGGAGGCCAGAACAATGCCCTTCCCAGTGTGTGCTCACCCCCGGATTGTGCATGCCTGCAACTATAAGGTGCTATGTTAGCACTGCCCTTTGTGGAACGCTTCTGGAAAACTTTCCAGAAGACTCCGGGAAATAAAGGCGTCCCATCAGCTCAGTGTGGGTCAATAAAGGGTTCTTTGAAGTTCAGGGGCCCTTCCTGCAGCCCCCTCCCCATCCTAGACACATAGAGGCCTCTAGGTCAGCTCCGGCCCCTCCCTTTGTCAACAGGAGCCTGGGAAGAGCCAAAGAAATGCCAGAATCAATCTTGACATCCTCGACTGGGTGCCAACTACCCGGAGGCTGGGGCTGGGCGGGATGGAGGTAGGTTAGAGGGGATGAGGAATGCCATCCCAGCTTGGCAGACAAGAGGCAATGGGAGATCGCATACAGAATGTGGCTGGAGAGACTGCCACTGAGCCCCTGAATAGACCCAATGCTTCCCTTCCTGTGTTCCCAGGACTCACACCACCTGTCACGTCCCCAGTCTGTCCCCCAGCTTTGGTGGCTTCAGCTCCTGCACAGCAGGCCAGACGCCGGTGGGTGGGTGGGTGGGTGGGTGGTCTGTGAGATGAGGTGGAGAGTCTGTCTCTGCCTCACTCCCCTCCGCCTGGCCAGCCCGATTCTGCCTCTTTGGGCTTGGCTGGTCCCCCAGGAGGTCCCCTGAGCCCGGCGGGCCCCTGGATCCCCAGTGTATCTTTCTCAGCTATGGCTCTCTCCCCCCCCCCCCCGCCCCGTCTGCAGGGGAGGGAAAGTGAAGCCGGATGCGGCTCATGAGCTGGGCAGGTGCCCAGGCCGCCAAGAAAAGCCTCCTTGTTTGCTTGTGTGTGCTGCCAACACACCTAGGGCAGGTGCCAGGAGGGCTGGCCAGGGTGGCAGGCTGTGGGGCTTTGGCCCCGGGCCTGCCCTGAAGGGGTAGGAGAACAGGGCACCCTGGGCATCGGGCCGTCCCCTCTCTCCTCCCGGGCCTGGAGGCTGGGGACTCACGTATTGGAAGGGCAGGAGGATGGCCAAGAGGAGTCCGCTGAAGAACAGGGTCATGAGCATCACGAACAGCACACCTTGGCAGGAGGTGAAGTCAAACTGTGGGGCAGAGGGGACCATCAGCACCGGGCCTCAGCAACGTGCTGGCCAGAGGCTGAGACCCGCCAATTCTGTGCTCACCCCAACAGCCCAGTATATCCCTCTTCCGGGAGTTATCCCCAGAGCCAACTCAAACCCCGGCCTCTCCTCAGCCCCACGTGGATCCCTGACCCATGTGCCCTCCCCTGCCCTCAGGCCCCAGGGCTGACCTTGGTCTGGAAGCTGAAGATGGTCACTGAGAGGCAGACAAGGGCCGTGATGCCCAGGCACATCAGCACAGATGTGGTGTTGTAGTAACTGAGGGTGGACACGGGGTCGGTGGGATTCCGCTTTCCCCATCCCTCCTCACAGAGCCACCCTTCCCTGCCAGAAGCTGACCTCATGACCTGCAGTCCCAACCTGCCCCCTTCCCAGGACCTCCCACTCTCAACTTCCCCAGGCTTCTCTGTCCTTGAACACTCTCGAATGGGGCGAAGGGTCTAGAACAGGCAGAGTGGGGTGCATTTGTGTCCGTGTCTGGGGGCAGTTTGCACCGTCAGGGGCTTTAAAGCCACAGCTCACTCTCCGCCATCCCTTACCCCAACCCTGCCCACCTGCTCAGGGCTTGGAGCCATTGGTAATGTAGTGCCTAAGGAGGCAAGCGACTCCAGGCCAAAGCGGCCTGTCTGCTTGAGTCCTTCCCCCACCCAGTGGCTGCCCGGAAAGATGAGATTTATGGGGTGGTGTTCTCTTCAGGTATGGCCAGACCCTGGCTGCACGCCTGCCTGGGACACCCTGTCCCGTTTACCTGGACAGCATCCCAGTGAGATAGGCCATGGACAGGGTCTGAAAGAAAAGCAGGGTGAAGGAACATTACTGCATGTGGACTTGGGGGCTCCGCCGGGCACTCTCAGGGCCCCCCGGCCAGCCTGCAGGCAGCTCGGGAGGGCTGTGCCTGGATCTCACGCTGCTGCATGTGGACTTGGGGGCTCCGCCGGGCACTCTCAGGGTCCCCCGGCCAGCTTGCAGGCAGCTCGGGAGAGCTGTGCCTGGATCTCTTGGCAGCCCTGCTCTTCCCGTGAGAACCCCCACTAATTCTGGCTGGAAGTCCCACACAATCTCCCCGGGACAAGGGACTGGGCACAGAAATGGCTTCGTCCCATTCAGAAGGGGAGGGTGGAATGGTCTGGTAGACGAGAAGTTCAGCACTTCTGTCCCACCAGGAACCTCACATTGACACCCCCAGTCTAGACTCCCCGGCCTTCCAACCTCCGTTCCCACTCAGCGTCTGTCCCCCAGCTCACCCCAGTCACTTACAAAGATGGCCAGCAGAATCAGGTTCCAAGGGAAGTGTCTCCTGCAAGGCAAGCCACAGGTCTCAGAGGCCACTCGAGCCTGTGGGACCCTCTGCGCACTGTGGGACCTCTTCACTCAAACCCTCTGATGCCCACACGGGCCCATCTGCCTCAGAGGCCCAAAGTGAAGGGCAGAGGGGCTGGCCCATCTGACTGCCGTTCAGAGACCCATGCGGCCCTTTCCCGGCTGCACAGCCCCCTGGCGGAAGGCAGGGCTCAGAGCAGATGTTTGGTCCTACAAACAGTTCCACAAGTAGCCCCCCAAGTCACGATCATTCATACCTGGGTCCAGAGCAGCAAGCCAGAGTCAGGTAAGTTGCAAAGAACACGGCACTGTGAGAAAGAGAGCCAGGTGAGCAAATCGGAGGGTCGCTCCCGAGGCCCTCTCCCTAGTCCGGTTGCTCCTACTCCGGTCCGCCACCCTACCCAAACTGCACCAGGCAGGGTGGCAAGAGCAGAGGGAAGGGCATGGCCATCTTAGGACTGGGCAGTGGGTAGGATGGTAGCCCAGTTCCCAGGAGACATTGGTAGTCGGGTGGGGCAAGCCTACTTCCAGCATATTTAATCTTGGGAGCTACAGCCTTCTGTTTCTCACCACTCGGCACAAGTGGCCTCAGGGACGTTTGCTGTTGTTTGTGTGTTTCCTGAGGCAGAGTCTCCCTAGGTAGTCCAGGCTAGCCTTGAACTAACTCTCTCTCTCTCTCTCTCTCTCTCTCTCTCTCTCTCTCTCTCTCTCTCTCATCCTCCTCCTTTTAGCCCTTAGTGTCCTGATACTGCAGACTTGCATCACCTCACCTGGCTAGGAAACCTTGGAAAGTTCATCCCCCAGGACCTGAGTAGACCGCTCAGTCATACTACACAGGGGCTGAGAGAGAGCTCAGTGGGAAGCCTGAGTGGCCAGCATGCATGAACACCTGCCTTCAGTGCCTAGAACCCAGGTGAACATGTATGCTGGCCATGGTGGCAGGCCCTGGGATCCCCCCCTCCCCCCCTCACTGGGAGAGGCAGGGAGAGGAGACTTCCTGGGGCGCAGCTCCCTGGCCAGCCAGTCCAGCCTCGGTGGTGAGACACTCTGTTTCGAAGGAGTCGGATGGCTTTCCTGAGGATGACACCTAGAAGTGGCTTCCAGCCTCCGTGTGCACAAATGCACATGCACACCCACACCAATCCATAGGCACACATGTGCACACCCATATGCATGCATTAAAAAAAAAAAAAAGCTCATGCCAGGTATCGTCGTATGGTGATGCAATCCTAGCAAGGAGGTACAGGCGAGAGGATCAGGGATTCAGGGTTATCCTGATCTACTTATGGAGCCTGAGGCCAGCCTACTCCATGTGAGACCCTGCATCAAAAACAGTAGATAAGTCTAAAGCAAACTAAAAGCTACCATAGAAAATATTTTTGTGTGCTGGGTAGACTTTTATTTATTATTTATTTATAGTTTTTGAGACGAGATCTCACATATGTACCTCTGACTGGCCTGGAACTTAGGCACAGGCCAGGAGCACTGGGCTTGATGTTTGTTTGTTTTGACAGTGTCTAATGAATATTGACATGATCTTTCTTTCTTTACATGTCTCCTTTACAGAAGAGGCCAGGCGACTTGTCCGAGGTCACGCCACTGTCCTGTTGTGAAGGACTAGGTAGGTGCTCCGGTTGCCGGGAGCTAGCCCCTACCAGCTAGCCTCGGCTACACACTGCCTGCTCACATCGCTCCCTGCAGCCATCCTGCTAGCTGCCTTTTTAGTGCTCTGCCTTTCCAGGCTGCGGGCTCAGCACGGACCGGCCTGCCGGCCCCTGGCAGGGCAGGAAGTGGAATCAATTTCTGGATCCGGCAGCCATGTCCAGTGGGAAGTGGCTGGAGGGTGGCTGACGGCTGAGAGGTTTCTGGAAAGCGAGGGGGCAAAGACCGGGCGATGGTAGATGGAGAATGAGCTCCCGAGACGGCTCGCCTGCCAGTGCGTGGCCTCCGCCCTCAGCAGGGCTTCGGCATGGCCAAGCAGCTCTGTCTTTCCCCATCTCTTCAGCATGTTACCCGCCCTCCATAAGAGCAATTCCAAACAGCCTCCTCCTTCCCCAAACCTCCCAGGCTGCCTCACTCTCTGTTATGTTCCAGAAAGATCTGAGATAATGAGGTGTGGCCCATCACCTGAAAACCTCACGTGGCGCTACCAGACTTCCTATCCCTCACCCCTTTCCAGGCCAATCCCCCCAGCCTGGGTTTTGGGTCCCAGGCTCTCAAAAGCCCAGTGATGGCTTACTTTAACACTCCCCCCTCCCTGGGGGGGGGTCACCTCTTCTCCCACGTCTACCTCCCTGGCCTCGCCTCATCTGCACTCAGCGTCCTCCCTAGCTCCAGCGACTCTGCACCCTGTGTATTCTCTGCTCACACTGCCTCTTCTCCATCTCTTCAACCCACCCAGCAACCTGGCCTCAGCCCCACGTCACGTCACGAGAGCTGGCTTGGTCACGCCAGGGTGACCTTGTTGAGTTCAGCTGTCACTCTTTGGTCTTTACATTAGCTGACTTCTCAATGTCTGGTCACTCCTATTGGTTCCACAATGACACACTTTCGGGTCCCCTCCTCCCTTCCTGGCCACTCCTCCTCAGTCTCCCTTATGGAGCGTCTAAAGGAGCTGATGTCTTCAAGGTGGACTCCTCCTCCTTGGTCCCACTCTCCCTCGGGAGGCTTGCTCACCAGGAGGACGGACCCACCCTTTGGAATGGGTGTTCATTTGCCCTTCTCAGCACTAGACTGGGCAGCCAGATAGATGCTCCGGCCACCGGTAGCTTTTCAGAAATGCATCAGACTCAAGGACATGGAGCCGAGCTCTGCTGTTCTCTCTGTTCCCGAACCCCCACTGCTGAGAACTCCATGCAACTGTCAAGTCACCCAGCCAGAGGCCTCAGCATCATTCCTGGCGCTCGCCCTACCACGCCTAATTAATCACCTGGATCTGCTCACCCTCCCACACAGACCTCACTCTTCCCTTGGTCGCCAACACCTCCCTTTGAAGTTGGGTCACCTCTTTCTCTTCTCTCTCAGGCCGGGACTGTAGCCTTCCAGCCTTCAGCCCAGCCTCTTCTCTACCCTCCACACCACAGGCCGATCAGAGCACATATTTTCCCAGGACAGTTGGCAATGCCTTCACCACCCGCCACTGGCTCCTCGTCTCGGCTGTCACCATACCTCCGTCCCCCCTCCCCGCTTCTCATCACAACCTCCAAACATGCCCGCCACTCCGCTCACAGGATGGAGACTCCCTCTTCTACCTGGCTTCCTCTGGAGCATAGACACAGCTCTGGCTGCAGCCTGCAGCCCTGCCTTGGCCAGCTCAGCTCACAGGGCCCCCTGCTCCCCTGGAGCCCCTCACAGGGCCCCTGCTCCCCCGGAGCCCCTGGAGGCCAGCTTGCGACTTCTTTTTCCTGTCATCTAACCTGGAGCCTGTCACCCAGGAGGTACACTCTTCAAATATTTCTGGACGAAATGGAAAAGCCAAACAAAAACAATAACAAAACAGACAGTGCAGGAATGCAAGCTTACAGCCTGGAGGCTCCGCTGCCATCGGATGCCAGGTGCCGGAGCTGTGCCCACCCTGCCCATGTGGGACAGCAGAACTCTCCTATCCATCCCTGGTGAAAAGTACCCTCTCCTCATGGTCTCACTGTTCAACACTTCAACAACTATGACAATAACAGAACTCTTGGCTGTGGGTCTCCTGTCACTGTCCAGACCGGAAGCTTCCTGAGGGCCTCTGGCCCTTTCCTCTGTGTTCTTCCACCCTTAAGAGGGGCATCAGAAGGAAAGGGCAGAGAGACTCAGGATGCCAAGACCATGGCACAGCTTTGGAGTCTGGTACCGGAAGTCCTGCCTCATGCCCGCTACGAGTCTGTGGCTACGGACAAGGATTTAAGAGCCATGGTCCCAGAGCCCTGCTCGGCAGAACAGGAAGACTGCTCCCCAGCTCCGGGAGACCTGGTGGGAGGGTACAGCACTCAGCACGAGCGTGGCACCGGGCTGGACTCGTGGATGGGAGCTGCCACTGTCATTAGAAGCTGGCTGAGTGACAGCTTCCCCGAGCCACCCCCACCCCAGCCCCAGCCTCACACTTCTCCTCCTCTGCCTGCTCCTCTCTCATCCTTCTGCTCTGCCATAGATACCACACTCGGCAGGAGCAATCAGACAATCAGGCAAGAACCCAGTGGAGAGGGAGACAGCAGGGACCTTGAGAAAGCCAGAGCCATTGAGGCAGAAGGGGGTGGGGTGTGTGTGAACAAGAACAGTCTGGTTTCGTGCTGAAGCCTCAGCCCCAGGGCCTGGGACAGTCTGTGTAGTGTCAGGATGGGAACCGAGACTCGGGTGAAGGCCAGGGACCAAAACCATTGGCCTTCCCTGGTTGACTTGCCCTCACACTCAGGGTTAGGGCCAGCAGACCACAGTGGGCAAGAGTGTGGTCATCACGCAGTTCCAGCTTTCTACCTGGCTCTGATGCTCAGGCAGCAGCTTCTCTGCCTCAGCTTCCTCATCTGTGAAATGGAGATTGTAACAGCGCCTGCTTAGCAGGGCTGTTAAAGGGAGGGTTGAAAACTAGACTCGAAACACGTGGCATGGCGCCTCATGCATAGAAAAGACCTGTTTTATTCTCGCTGTTATGAATGCTGTTCCAACAGGAAGAGACAAACGGGGGAGCCCTCAGGGAGCATTTGATACGCTGGAGGTGAGGTGAGACCTGAGAGGGTGAAGGGGCAGGATGGGGAGGCTAGAGGGGTGTGGAGGGTAGGGTAGACCCTCAGGCAGGCCTTCTGCGGGAAGCAGAGGCATACTGGTGGGGGAACTCTGAACAACAGCAGTGTTGTGCTGTGTCCCAGGAGAGCACAGTCCATGCCCACGTCGCACCTCTCTCCACCTGCTCCCACCTCAGAGCACCGCTGCTTTCCACTTGACCTTTACCAAGGCCAGACGCTCACTCCCCCCCACCCCCCACTTCCTCTTCAGCAGAGTGCAAACGTACGCCACGCTGTTCCCGCCACTACACACTCAGGACATGGAGTCCCAAAGACCGTCCTAGAAGAGGGGTCCGGGACACCCATTCCAAGGTCTCGGGGGAGGGCCTGAGCCTACCAGATGGCGCTGACGTGCTGGGAGCCATGCCAACCTGCTGTGTGGGCTGGCCAAGGTGGCGGTCCCTGGGGCCTCATTAGCTGTACATACAGTGCCTCCCAACTCCTCAGGACTCAGCCCTCCCTCCCTCTTGGGATGCTGACTGTCCCTCTGTCCTGTGCCCTAGGAAAGGCTCTGTGCGTGGATGTCTTCACCTCTGGAATCCTGGGACGTTTCCTTGCTGTTAGTCTGCGGTCCACTCGAGCCAATTCTAAGCCCACTGTGGTGGTCTTAGGCTCCGGTGGCTCAGAGGGCCTTGGGCTGAGCTCAGCTCTGCCCTCGGTGCCTATGGAAGAACAGGCTGGGCCGGTCAGTGTGCGCACTGCTCTGCCACGCTCTGTCTTCACGCTCGGCCCTCTGAGATGGCCTTCCGTCCCTCCGTCAATCTAGCCCCTAATGTAGGGAACACACCTCAGTCTTCTCACTCCCCTCCTTTCTTATCCACATCTCTCTCACAGTCCGGTCCACCCTGTGATCCCCCCGCCACCTCTGACAACTCCTCTGCAAGCTCCTTTGCATACATCATACCAGCCACTACCTTCCCCTGCAGGCAGAGGCCGCCTGCCCAGTAGCCCCAGTACAGGGCCGGCTCATATGGGATGCCAACGGGGACCATGGAGAGAGCAATTTTCTGAGTCTAGGATGGTTCTGGTCTGGAAGCATCCAAGATTTTTCCTTAGTTACCAGGAAGGAGGGTCTGAGTCACCTAACCCTCCGGCCTCCTCTTGCAAGTTGCCCGCCATGTTCCTTAAAGAGTGCAGGACTAGTAGAAGCCAGTGGCTGGAGGGCGGAAGGGAGACTGCCAAGCAGAGGGATTAGGAGCACAAGACTTAACTTGAACCCAGCTCCATCACTGACTAGCTGTGTGACCTTGGGCAAATTACTCAACCTCTCTGAGCCTTAAGGTTTTCTGAGGTAATCATAGCCAGTCGATTTGAGAATCAAATGCAATACTACACACCAAGCACACAAAACAATGCCCAGCCCTTAATTAGGCATTCTGTAAGTGGTGGCTCTCATGATTAATAATTTCATAAGCATTAATAACAATGTTAATAAGAGAAGCAACATTATCATTAGAGAAGGTCAAGGTGTTCCAGCCCCTTCCCTTGCAGGGTCAAGGTACCGGCTCTCTCCAGCCAAGGCTCTTGCCAACCTGTAGAGGGGCTGTCACCCCCCCACACACACACACACCTCCAGTTGTCCTGTCAGATCTGAACAACTCAAACGTTGACCCTGGCCATGCTATGGGCCTTTGAGGTCCTCCCCCTGGGGTGTGGGAAGGCTGTGGTTTGGATCCATCAACAGAGCACAGTGGGCATTTCTAGGCAGGGGTCTGGGGTGGGGCATACTCACTAGGATGCCCAGTACCAGCCTGGGTTGGCCTGAATGTAGTCCTTAACAACGTCACTGTAGAAAAAGGCAAGCAGAGCGTCAGAGGCGGCCTCAGGTCTGTTTGTGTTCAACATCTGTACCCGCCCCACGAGGACTCAGAGAAAGGAGGAAAGACTGAGCTCTGGATGGCCGGGCTGGGACTTGGGGGAGCCTGGCTGGGGGACTGGGGGGCAGAGGCACGTAACACCTCACAGATACCCATGGCCTGGAGAGCCCGCCGGACACTATTTGGGGGGATTTCTCACATGGGGTACACCCGACATTCTTCCCCAGAGTGAGGGTATCCACTGCCCCTCATCTATCTGGGTGGGCATCCCAGGAGAGGTTTGATGGAATGCCCTGCCCCGAGTCTGACCATGGTCCTCCTGGAAGGTGTCAGTCCGCATCGCCAACTCACCAGAAGGTAAAGAGAGCAACGACAGCCAAGGTCACCAGCAGCTGGACCAACAGGATGGTATAGACCTGAGGGAGGAAGGGAGGGGTGATCATTTCGGGGAACCCTGGGCTCCGGCAAGGCTCTGAGAGACCCCAGTTTCAGGGACTCACCCAGACCCACCTGCTGGACACTTTCATTCTCCTTCATAGGGGTCACTGGGTGCATTCAGAAAAGTAGGGGGGGCAATAAAGGTACCAGGCCCTCAGGTGGAGCAGCCCACACAGCCCAGGGGGCGTGGAGCAAGGGCCCTGGGTGAAACCTCAGAAGCACATGCCAGGAGGAGCATGAGCTGGGTGGGATGGGAGGAGAAAGGGAAAGGGACCACCCACCCACCCCCGACAGAGGCTGGGCCGAGGTCCTTCCAGGAGTCCAGCACAGGGCCCCAAATCCTTCACCCGCTTCTCCCCGGTCCAGAGCGTGTGAGAGGCAGTCACCTTTCTGATGAAGAGCCGGCGAACCTTCTGGTCATCCCAGCTGAAGGTGCTGTAGAGCTCATGGTTTCCTGTGGGGAATCCGCCTTCGTAGCTGGAGCTGCTACCTGCGCAGGTGGGTAGAGGCTGTGAGAGCGCCTGCCAGTCCAGCTCATGTCGATCTGGCTCTCAAGGCTACTGAAGTCCTTCTCTCCAGCCCCACTGTCAAATACCCACTGTGGCCCCCACACTGCCCACCCCACAGCTGCCTTCCTGACCACTTCCTGTTCTCTCTTCTCTGACCCCACGGGTGAGCTGTCTCCTCTTCTTTCCCTCCATGATGGCTGGGCTCTGGGGAACCAAGCCCCGCCACACAAATGTCCCTTTCCCTCTTGTGTCCGAGTTCCCCTCCCTGGACACTCCAGATCCCGTGAATCAGCCAGGGACAGTCAGTCCTCCTGGCCAGTGTCCGAGGACCCAAGATCCTGCGTCTGGCTGCTCTGAGGCCCACGGGTTGGAATCAAAGGCTGGGTGGAGGCGTAGGGCCTGCCGGTGCTCACACCAGCGTAGGGCCTGCCGGTGCTCACACCAGCGTAGGGCCTGCCGGTGCTCACACCAGCGTAGGGCCTGCCGGTGCTCACACCAGTGTAGGGCCTGCCGGTGCTCACACCAGGGCCAGTGTGAGCCGGCTGGAGGGAAACGAGACCAAGTGCAGTGAGTGGGAGCCGGGCCTGGAGCAAAGACCCCAGAGCCAAACAGACCCACAGGTCGATCCGTGGGCCAAGCTGTGTGACCCAAGCACATCATCGGCCATCTCCGAGTCTCTTTTGGTGGGGACGGACAACAGACTCACTTCACAAATTCGGTCAAACGGAAAGTCTGCGTGTTCCGTGCCTGGTGGGGGCCACACTGCCTTTGCCCTGTGCTCCTCTTTAGAGACAGTCTCAAGCCCTGGGATGTATCTGCTCTTGTCCTCTCCGCTGTCTCCATCAGGTCTGGCTATCTTCCCTTTCCCCCAGCAAGAGCCTCTGCCTTGGTCTCTCAGAGATGACCAGGCCACTGCTGTGTTGGAGCTCTTCAGAATGGCTCTTCTCCTGCTCATTGCTCAAGTTCTTTTTTTGTTTGGTTTTGTTGTTTTTTTGAGACATAGTCTCAAGTAGACCAGGCTGGTCTTGAACTCACTATGTGGCTGAGGATGATCTTGAACTTCTAATTCTCCGGTTTCTGTCTCCTGAGTGCTGGCTATAGACACATACCACCACAGGTTCCTTTAACAGTGCCAGGGTGCGTGGAGTCCTCCAGCCACACTTCACTGGGAACAATCCTCCTCCTCTCCCACTTTCTTAGCCTGACTAATAGCTGTTCACTTGCCTGCCTTCTGGCCCTGGACCCTGTCCACTCAGTGCTTTCTGAGGGATGTCCATTGCTCTGCCTCCTCACACGCTAACTCAAAACACTCTTCAGAGCTCTGCATGGATACAGGAAATCTTCCCCGACTGGCTGGCCAGACATAAGCCAGCAAGCTCTTCACCAGTACTGACGGTGCCGGGATCCCAGCAGCAGCACCTCGGCTGTCCGGCTGAGCAGCCTGCAAGAACTTCACCACTGGCTGTGAGGAGGGACCCCTAAGTCCTCAGTTCCCAGGCTAGTGAGATGGCTCAGCCCCGAGGACTAGCTAGCTGTCCCCTGCTGATTCTTGGGCACCAGAGCTGGAATGTCTAGGGAAGGGGGACCAGGGACGGGGACACAAGAGGGAAGGAACACTTGTATGGAGGAGCTTGGTTCCCCAGAGCCCAGCCGTTGTGGAGGGAGAGGACAGGATTCGTCTTATTCCTGGGATCAGGGCAGGGAGAAGAGGAAGCGACCAGGAAGACAGGTGTGGGGTGGGCAGAGGTGAGCCAAAGCGGGATTTGACGGTGGAACTGGAGAGAAAGACTTCAGAAGTCTCGAGAGCCCGGCAGGTAGGGTGGGGAGCTACCCAGGTCTCTTCTGCCCGCCACTGCCGTACTTGAGGCACTGTGGCAGGCATCCAGTGACAGTGAGCTCAGGGAGGCAGAGCCGTGGACAGATTCTGCATCTCCTGGAATGGGCTCAGATCTGACACTTCCCAGGCGACGCTAGGAAATGTTTGTCTCCTGTTGAGGGCAAGGATCGGCCCTCCCTTCCACCGCAGCCCCGGAGAGGATGTTCCTTAGATAAAGTGTCCATCCCAGCAAGAAATGAGAGGAATGAAGGGACTCCCCACCTTCATTGACCTTCCAGTACGTCACTTTGGAGTGAGGCGGCTGAGCTCTGGACCGAGGGGTGTGTTTGGAGGAGACACGGACCATGGTGGCCACTTGCTCCTTAGGAGCAGAGGCTCTGTCAGGGGCACTGTCCTCAGACCCCTTCTAGAACTTTGCAGGCAATGGGAGGGTGTCACAGTGGGGGGAGGGGCAGCAGAGGCAGACAAACCCTGAAAGTTCTGAAAATTTAAATTTAAAAAAAAATGTTACTTATTCTTATATGCAAGCACATGTGTGACCGTGTATGCACACACACGTGCATGTGGTTATAATCTGGGTGCACGCGTGCTATGAAGCACATGTGGAGGTCAGAGGTCAGCTTTTCGGAGTCAGTTCTCTTCCTTCTACCGTCTGCCCTGGAATCCTGGGCTGGAACTCAGGTCATCAGCTTTTTGTGGCAAGGGGCATTTGCCTGCTGAGTCATTTCACCAGCCTGGGGCTGAGGATTTAGGGGCCACTTCTCGCAGCCAGTGACAAAAATCTTTTCAGGCTGCTGCTCAGCCAGACAGCCACGGTGCTGCTGCTGGGACCTGGGAACCGTCAGTACTGGTGGAGACGTTGGTGACTTGTGTCTGGCCAGCCACGTAGGCTAGCTCGTTCCCGCACACCTCCCCCACACTGTGCCTGCCCCCCTGCAAAACCTGGAGAAAGGGCAGGGAGATAATGCCAGCGGCTGGGAGGGGGGCCTCCACCCCGTAATCTCTGAAAGCCCTAGGCCTTACAGAGGCCTGGCCCCACTGATTTTCCGACCAGTCGCAATATTAACGCTGTACCCACTCGGGGCACCGGCACAGCCAAGGTCCCTGCCCAGGCGTGGCCTTTTCACTACCTTCCTGACCTCTCTGGTCTCTCCCAATTCTGGGTCCATGTCCTCCCTTCTCCGAGGTCCTTCTTAGACGAGAACTCGGCTTCGGTCCCTTCTCCTGCTCCTCCAGTTGGCTTAGCTGAGTGATTTGCAGAGACCCCCCCCTTTCTCTAGCTGACAGCACCCCAACTAGACATCTCTTCTCTTCCCTTCTAGAGTTCTCTTTGACCCGCACTCTGAAGAGCCCCCTGAGGCCTCCGACGATAACGTTCTGCACAACTACACCCTTCAGGCAGGGGCAGGGCAACTTCCTCCTTCCTACCCGGCACCCAGGACTCCCTCTATCCCTCCAGCCTCTGGGTGCTGAGAGACTTACTGGGGTCCACATAGGCCCAGCTTGGATGGAGAGGTACAGCCGTGGGGCCCTGGGGGAAGGGCCCCGCCTTCAGCCCATCTCCAGAGGTGGCCTCCTCATAGGAGGGCGGTGCTGAGGGCACTGCCGGAGCCTCCTTCTTCTCGCCATTTGTCTGCTGCTGCCCCTCAGTCCCGGGGGCCTTGTTAGCCACAGAGAGCTGTAGAGCAAAGGCAGAAAGAGACCACACAGGTGGTGTGGTTACTAGGGACAGCCCCTGGATTCCTGTCCCAGTGCTCTTTCCTGTGCCAGGGAGTGGGACAGAGGAGACCCACCTCCAGGTTCACAGCCCACAGGACCGAGCTCAGGAGGGGCCGGGCCAGCCAAGGAGAAGATAGATAAGACAGGAAGCAGAAAATTCCCGAGAGTGCCCGTGGAGGCCATAGGGCCACCTGGGAAAGGCAGTTGGGCCTCTGTGGTCCTACAGTTGCCCTGTGCTCCGGGGAATGTCCTGACCCATCCGAGACCTATTGTTGAGCAGAATGTTCTCCCTTTCATCGACTTCCCAACTTGCTCACTGTATCAGCCAATCTTACTTTACACCATCATTATTTTGATGTTTGTTTTTAAGACTGGTTCTCCCTATGTAGCCCTGGCTGTCCCGGAACTCAGTCTGTAGACCAGGCTGGCCTCAAACTCACAGAGATCCACCTGTCTCCACTCCCCAAGTGCTGGGATTGAAACTGGGTGCCACCATGCCCAGCTATTCAGCCAATTTTAAAACGAGGACACCCAGAATCAGACAGAAAGAGAGACATCCAAAGCCCCAGGTGCCATGGGTGGGACCTAGGGCCACAGGGCTCGGGCTCTGTCCCTGGGGACAGGTTGCTTTCTGCTGGGCTGGAAATACTGGAGGGTGGGATGGGGAGAGCCTGCTGGGTAGAGGGAGAGCAGGTCCTGAAGAAACAGACTTCCCCAGGCAGAACAGAACAACAGAGGGTGGTCCTCGCTGGAGGGGCCAAGGAAGACATCTATCTGCTGTATGACCCTTCTTTCCCACGAGGCAAGGATCCGAGACCCAGGGGGAATCTCTGCTCAGGGCAGACTAGGAACTTCAGGCCGCTTACATTCAGATATGCCCCCTGCCCCCCACAATGAGCATGGTGGCCTGGTGAGGTGGTGACTGGCGAGAGTCAGGGAGGGAAACACTGGAACAGGGTGTGAAGACAGAGAAACCAACGGGAGGCCAGGCCTCAGAAAGCGCCACTTCTGTCTGGCTGCAGAGGCCCCTCATGGACGGCTGAGGTAGATAGGTGGGTGGCCCTTGCAGGGAGACGACCGAGGAGGTCCCTGACTTCAGTCCCTCTAGAGCCCACTGGACTTCAGAAGGCTAGTAGCACCCCGGCTCCTAAGATATCCTGAGGGGTGCTGGGAGCCAGGGGCTGAGGGACAGAGGCCTCTGTGCCACCAGAGCAGAGAGGAGCTGGCTCCTGTCTGGCAGAGTGGGGTGGGCGTGGAAAGAGAGGCTCCCTTCCCACGCTCAGCTCAGTGTCCCCTGCCTCCTCAGAACGGGATCTGGAGCCCGGGCTCCCTGGCTCCCGTCATTGTACAGACTGAAGGGGGCATGACTAAGGAAACCGCCTTAGCCTCTACCCTTCCACTTAGCCCCCCAGAACCTCTGGGGCCCCACCGCCTCTCACATAAGGCATTCCCAAGTGACATCTGGTCAATGGCAGGAAGCGGTATCACCCGATAACACCATTTGAGGCCTTTGAGGAGCTTGATCGCAGGAGGGTCTGAGGGTCCAGGGAGGTATACCATTAGCTCTGAGGCTGATATCAGAGGAGAAAAAAATGGGGTGTAGGGGAGGGCCTTCTGTGTTCCCTGACCAATCCTTAGCCCCTCTAAACAGAGGGCTGGAGGACCCTCCCCCTTCACCCTAGGCCCTAGTGGTTGTATAATTCCACAAGCTGTTGATGTTACATAAGCCTCCTGCGCTACCCAAGTCTCTGCCCAGCCCCTCCCCTGAAATTCAGACCTAAAACTGATGCATGTGTGTGTATGCGTGTGTATATGTGCATTGTGTGTGTGTATGTGTGTGTGCGGGGGGGGGGGGGG